CTTCTCGTGGCCTCACGATGAATCCTTTGATTCTCTAGGCGAATCTACCCTGGCCACAGGCCAGCCAAATCACAGTCCCACTGGGTGCACCGTCGTGGAGGCCTTCAACCACAAATCCAGCCTGTATCTTATCTTGAGGTTATCTTGAGATGATTTCGGGGCTTTTTAGTGTCCCCGCGGCCCGGTCCTCGACCAGGCCTCCACCCCCAGGAAGCAGCCCGTGACAGCTGACTAACACCCAGGTACCTATTTTACTGCTAGGTAACAGGGGCATAGGGTGAAAGAAACTCTGCCCATTGTTTCTCGCCGGCGCCTGGGATCGAACCCAGGACCACAGGATCAAAAGTCCAGCGTGCTGTCCGCTCGGCCGACCGGCTCCCAAACCTGTAGCTGGCAGGTTCCAATCAGCTCCGCTGCGTAGGCCACTCCACGACCGATACTAGGGTTACGAGCCCTAGGCAGGAGCCTCCTGTGATTCCGCTGATCACTCTCCTCCCAATAGCACCACAGTGGCTAGTCTCTTCCACCAGTCAACCCCCGGGTACGACGATTCCTCAACTCTGCCACCTCACAGGCAGGCTAACACTCTCAGCAGTGTTCGTCCGGGAGCAACTCACAGCTTCTGCAGCAAACACGTGGAGAGACTTTGGCTGCCTTGGGTAGACTGCCCCACCGTCCAATACAGCAGTCCCAGGTCGACTCTGTAATCAGACACGTCATCAGTACTAGGGACACTCTAGGGCACCTCACTTACAGGCTTAGACACAAACGTCCACCTATCCACTCCATAGATGGCGTTGCTGTCTAAGCGCCACCTCACCAGAGGTCAGCAGCGGCTACATTACGAGCTGATTAAGACGGGAAACCAGCCCCTGTGGCCGGTATATCCCGTCCCCACTAGATGGCGTCGTCCATTTGGAGGGGGTTTCGGGAGCTGATTCACAGATGGCGTGGACGTCACTGCTCCGTGCTACGACGCTGGGCTCGGGTCCGTAACACACACACGTGCAGCTAGGTGGATACACATACACACGTACACACACGCCCTCACTACTCAGCACCCCTCTCCCCGCCCTCACTACTCCTCACTACCCCTCTCTCCGCCCTCACCGCCTCATGACGTGTATAACGGAGCGTAATGCCCCAGAAATGAAGGCCATTAGACAGAGTACTAGACTGTAACATATTTTTACACGAGAGGTGGCTAGAGGTCACCAACTACCTCCACGGTGGGTAACGACCCATCCTGAGCCCCAGAGTCGTATCACGACCTCCTTGCATACTCTTCCACATATTCAGTGACCACCAGACGGCAGCTGTGCATTGCGCAAATAGAAAAACTGAAAAAGGTTCTTGTAATGACCGTCTTGGTCTCCAGCATCATTATGTTGTTTGTCATTCCCGCGGAGGGGGCCGGCGCCCCCTTGTACAGCAGGGGGCCGGCGCCTGCTGGTACAGGAGGGGGCCGGCGCCTGCTGGTACAGGAGGGGGCCGGCGCCTGCTGGTACAGGAGGGGGCCGGCGCCTGCTGGTACAGGAGGGGGCCGGCACCTGCTCTCACTCAATGCGAGTTTGCAATTTGCACCGCAATATTTGCTGATGATGCTAAAATTATGAGAAGAATCAAGACAGATGAAGATAGACAGAGACTACAGGACGACCTGGACAAACTGGCGGAATGGCCTAGAAAATGGCTACTAAAGTTCAACTCAGGAAAGTGTAAAATAGTGAAATTAGACGAAGGAAGCAGGAGGTTAAACACAAGGTACAATCTGGGAGGTGAAATCCTGCAATAGTCAAATAGAGAGAAAGATTTGGGGGTTGATACCACACCGAACCTGTCCACAGAAGCCCACACCAAAAGATTATCATCAGCGGCGTATGCTAGACTTACCAAAATAAGAACGGCCTTTAGAAGCTTGTGTAAGGAATCATTCCGGATCTTATATACCGCTTATGTCAGACCAATCTTGGAGTATGCAGCTCCAGCATGTAGTCAATGCCTAGTTATTAGAAACAAGACAAAGTCAGAAAAGTCAGAATTTTATGCCTGCAAGATTACCTTCATAATTTAGATTTTACTGATAAGATTTATAAGAGTATATCTTCAAGGTAATAGTTTGTGAGTAATTTGGATATATACCATGTAGTTGTGATCATTTATGAGGTGCACCTTAGTTGGCGTGCGTGTGTTAGGATGTTGCAGGTCATGGTCAACACGCACTCGTAATCAGTTTACAGGACATTTTCCAAAGTATTGTACAACGTGATCTCGTATGACCTGAACTTTTTATGGCCACAATTCTGTAGTTTTGTGTGTGGCTGTTATATTTGGTTGTTGATACTCAACAGTGACTGGCTACAGTGGTTTCCTCAGTGGACACGGGTCTTTTTTAATCCTATCTGAACTAAATGGCAGTCAGTCTGCTACCACCTTTATTTATGCCACCAGACTGGTCCCGGAACTGAGAGGAATAAGCTACGAGGAAAGGTGAAGAAAGCTAAACCTCACGTCCCTGGAAAACAGAAGAGTAAGGAGAGACATGATAACCACCTACAAAATCCTAAGGGGGAATTAACAGGGTGGCCACAGACAAACTCTTTAACACTGGTGGAACACGAACAAGGGGACACAGGTGGAAACTTAGTACCCAGATGAGCCACAGAGACGTTAGAAAGAATTTTTTTAGTGTCAGAGTAGTTAACAAATGGAATGCACTAGGCAGTGATGTGGTGGAGGCTGACTCCATACACAGTTTCAAATGTAGATATGATAGAGCCCAGTAGGCTCAGGAATCTGTACATCAGTTGATTGACAGTCGAGAGGCGGAACCAAAGAGCCAAAGCTCAACCCCCGCAAGCACAACTAGGTGAGTACACTTACACAATTTTCTACAATTTGCATGTAACGATGAAATATAGCTTTTTTTTTTTAATGTAACCAGTTCCAAAAAATTGGCTGAAACTTTCGTTTTGAAAAGAATACGAGAATTTTAATTTTGGACTCCGCAGCCGTAAACACAACATCGACTTCCGATGCCACAAGACCAAAAACGCAACGAAACATACAAAAATAAACATCTTTTCTAGCGCAACAAAAGACATTTTTTGGGCAGAAAATAAACATTTTTTTCCCCCAGTAGAAAGACAGACAATGTGACGACACGTTGTCATTTCGTCAGATGCTCGTATTGTTTTTGTACAGAGCTTTGGTCTTTATCAGAGTATAGCAGCCGGGGCCAGTGACGTCTCCCGCTCCACACTCCTACACTGAAATTAACGGTATTAAAACCCTTTTGGCATAACCCCCCTCCCCCCCCCCCCTCTCTCTCTCTCTCTCTCTCTCTCTCTCTCTCTCTTCTCCTCTCCTCTCTCACTCTCTCTCCTCTCTCTCTCTCTCTCTCTCTCTCTCTCTCTCTCTCTCTCCTCTCTCTCTCTCTCTCTCTCTCTCTCTCTCTCTCTCTCTCTCTCTCTCTCTCTCTCTCTCTCTCTCCTCTCCTATCTCTTCTCTCTCTCCTCTCTCTCTCTCTCTCTCATCTCTCTCCTCCTCTCTCCCTCTCTCTCTCTCTCTCTCTCTCTCTTCTCTCTCTCCTCCTCTCTCTCTCTCTCTATCTCTCTATCTCTCTCCTCTCTCTCTCTCTCTCTCTCTCTCTCTCTCTCTCTCTCTCTTCTCTCTCTCTCTCTCTCTCTCTTCTCTCTCTCTCTCTCTCTCTCTCTTTCTCTCTTTCTCTCTCTTCTCTCTCTCTCTCTCTCTCCTCTCTCTCTCTCTCTCTCTCTCTCTCTCTCCTCTCTCTCTCTCTCTCTCTCTCTCTCTCTCTCTCTCTCTCTCTCCCCCCCCCAGTACCTCCAATGGATAGGGAAATAACCTTCCGTGATCGATAGTATTGATATCCTGTCACTTCTGTTAGGTGCCTTCGGCGACCCCTACCCCTCTTGTGCTTCTGCTTGTACCTGCTGTACCCCGCTTGTTGTGGGGTTGTACCTGCTGTACCCCGCTTGTTGTGGGGTTGTACCTGCTGTACCCCGCTTGTTGTGGGGTTGTACCTGCTGTACCCCGCTTGTTGTGGGGTTGTACCTGCTGTACCCCGCTTGTTGTGGGGTTGTACCTGCTGTACCCCGCTTGTTGTGGGGTTGTACCTGCTGTACCCCGCTTGTTGTGGGGTTGTACCTCCTGTACCCGCTTGTTGTGGGGTTGTACCTGCTGCACCCCGCTTGTTGTGGGGTTGTACTGCTGCACCCGCTTGTTGTGGGGATGTACCTGCTGCACCCCACTTGATGTGGGGTTGTACCTGCTGTACCCTGCTTGTTGTGGGGTTGTACCTGCTGTACCCCGCTTGTTGTGGGGTTGTACCTGCTGTACCCCGCTTGTTGTGGGGTTGTACCTGCTGTACCCCGCTTGTTGTGGGGTTGTACCTGCTGTACCCCGCTTGCTGTGGGGTTGTACCTTCTGTACGTAATTACAAAGAGAGAATTTGAAACATTATCTTTTTGCGAATGCAGTTTAGCTACCTTTCCTCCACAGACAGTTTACTACAGCGCTGAATCCCTGTAACCCAACACAACAGTCACTGTCTTTCCTCAAATACAAATTAGCGGGACACGGAAACAGGCGAACTGTCCCGACATCTTGACGTCTAAAGTAAGGCTTTTCCCGTCTGGACTGGATCTTGGTCCGGGTATGGGACGAGATGAAGATGACATTAGCCGCTCTTCGGGAGGTACTTACCTGAGGCCTAATCACGTCAAGACGCACATAAGCGGTCTCTCCAATTACTTCACATCGAGTCATCCAATACTCTCTCTCTCTCCTGCTTCCGACTGGAGGCGACCAGAGGGAAGCAGCCTCCGCGCTGGTCGCTTGTGGTCGTGGCGACGTTTTTGCCTCTGTAGCGCTCCTGTGTGTACACTGTGTGTGTGTGTGTGTGTGAGTGCGTGTACTTGTGAGGGCGTGTACATGTTGCGTGTGTGTACATTTGAGTGCACTTCCCTATATGTACTCACCTATTTGTGGCAGATCGTATGGGTTTCAGCTTTTCGACGTCGCCTTTGCTGTACCACCAGTGTTGGTTAAGAATAAATTCAAAACTTATATCAGAGTTGGTGTTATATAACAGAGCTTTTATAACAGACTCTATTACAGAGCTCATAGTGTTAGCGAGTGCGGCACAGAGCACAGACAGGTATAGCGAGCCAGATTACAAGTGTCTGGTTTCGTCCTCCGGTCTATGCCAAGGTAGTTAAGCTGTTAAGCAAGAACCATTACAATTACCTCGTGCAGGGGGGGATAAAGATTGAGAAGATGGGGGACCTATTTTCAAGAAATAGGTCAATATTTCTTGACGTTCCTATTCAGGAAGATTGACCTATTCAACAAATAGGTCAAACAGTGCCTTGTCTCAGCAGGTTACTGTTTAATTTTCTGTCAAAGAGTTATGACGGTTGGAGGGAGTGTTAGGAAGGGGGGTGTTCCCGTGCGCCCTCGTCCCGTCTTGGGCCTTACTGACTTAAGATCCTGCTCGTGGCAGTTTAATATAAAAATAGAAAGGAAATGTGTTGTTATAATTCGTGTTGGTAAGAATGATGTCTTCTTCCTGTCAGTTCCCCATCTGAATGGATATCACATGTATACATATCTAGCTGTGTACCACATGTATACATATCTAGCTGTGTACCACATGTATACATATCTAGCTGTGTACCACATGTATACATATCTAGCTGTGTCCCACATGTATACATATCTAGCTGTGTATACATATCTAGCTGTGTACCACATGTATACATATCTAGCTGTGTACCACATGTATACATATCTAACTGTACCACATCACATGTATACATATCTAGCTGTGTACCACATGTATACATATCTAGCTGTGTACCACATGTATACATATCTAGCTGTGTACCACATGTATACATATCTAGCTGTGTACCACATGTATACATATCTAGCTGTGTACCACATGTATACATATCTAGCTGTGTACCACATGTATACATATCTAGCTGTACCACATGTATACATATCTAGCTGTGTACCACATGTATACATATCTAGCTGTGTACCACATGTATACATATCTAACTGTACCACATGTATACATATCTAGCTGTGTACCACATGTATACATATCTAGCTGTGTACCACATGTATACATATCTAGCTGTGTACCACATGTATACATATCTAGCTGTGTACCACATGTATACATATCTAGCTGTACCACATATATACATATCTAGCTGTGTACCACATGTATACATATCTAGCTGTACCACATGTATACATATCTAGCTGTGTACCACATGTATACATATCTAGCTGTGTACCACATGTATACATATCTAGCTGTGTACCACATGTATACATATCTAGCTGTGTACCACATGTATACATATCTAGCTGTGTACCACATGTATACATATCTAGCTGTGTACCACATGTATACATATCTAGCTGTACCACATGTATACATATCTAGCTGTACCACATGTATACATATCTAGCTGTACCACATATATACATATCTAGCTGTGTACCACGTGTATACATATCTAACTGTACCACATGTATACATATCTAGCTGTGTACCACATGTATACATATCTAGCTGTGTACCACATGTATACATATCTAGCTGTGTACCACATGTATACATATCTAGCTGTACCACATGTATACATATCTAGCTGTGTACCACATGTATACATATCTAGCTGTGTACCACATGTATACATATCTAGCTGTGTACCACATGTATACATATCTAGCTGTGTACCACATGTATACATATCTAGCTGTGTACCACATGTATACATATCTAGCTGTGTACCACATGTATACATATCTAGCTGTGTACCACATGTATACTATCTAGTGTACCACATGTATACATATCTAGCTGTGTACCACATGTATACATATCTAGCTGTACCACATGTATACATATCTAGCTGTACCACATGTATACATATCTAGCTGTGTACCACATGTATACATATCTAGCTGTGTACCACATGTATACATATCTAGCTGTACCACATGTATACATATCTAGCTGTGTACCACATGTATACATATCTAGCTGTGTACCACATGTATACATATCTAGCTGTGTACCACATGTATACATATCTAGCTGTACCACATGTATACATATCTAGCTGTGTACCACATGTATACATATCTAGCTGTGTACCACTATGTACCACATGTATACATATCTAGCTGTGTACCACATGTATACATATCTAGCTGTGTACCACATGTATACATATCTAGCTGTGTACCACATGTATACATATCTAGCTGTGTACCACATGTATACATATCTGTACCACAGCTGTGTACCACATGTATACATATCTAGCTGTGTACCACATGTATACATATCTAGCTGTGTACCACATGTATACATATCTAGCTGTGTACCACATGTATACATATCTGTGTACCACATGTATACATATCTAGTGTACCACATGTATACATATCTAGCTGTGTACCACATGTATACATATCTAGCTGTGTACCACATGTATACATATCTAGCTGTGTACCACATGTATACATATCTAGCTGTGTACCACATGTATACATATCTAGCTGTACCACATGTATACATATCTAGCTGTGTACCACATGTATACATATCTAGCTGTGTACCACATGTATACATATCTAGCTGTACCACATGTATACATATCTAGCTGTGTACCACATGTATACATATCTAGCTGTGTACCACATGTATACATATCTAGCTGTGTACCACATGTATACATATCTAGCTGTGTACCACATGTATACATATCTAGCTGTGTACCACATGTATACATATCTAGCTGTGTACCACATGTATACATATCTAGCTGTGTACCACATGTATACATATCTAGCTGTGTACCACATGTATACATATCTAGCTGTGTATACATATCTAGCTGTGTACCACATGTATACATATCTAGCTGTACCACATGTATACATATCTAGCTGTGTACCACATGTATACATATCTAGCTGTGTACCACATGTATACATATCTAGCTGTGTACCACATGTATACATATCTAGCTGTGTACCACATGTATACATATCTAGCTGTGTACCACATGTATACATATCTAGCTGTGTACCACATGTATACATATCTAGCTGTGTACCACATGTATACATATCTAGCTGTGTACCACATGTATACATATCTAGCTGTGTATCTAGCTGTGTACCACATGTATACATATCTAGCTGTGTACCACATGTATACATATCTAGCTGTACCACATGTATACATATCTAGCTGTGTACCACATGTATACATATCTAGCTGTGTACCACATGTATACATATCTAGCTGTGTACCACATGTATACATATCTAGCTGTGTACCACATGTATACATATCTAGCTGTGTACCACATGTATACATATCTAGCTGTGTACCACATGTATACATATCTAGCTATGTACCACATGTATACATATCTAGCTGTGTACCACATGTATACATATCTAGCTGTGTACCACATGTATACATATCTAGCTGTGTACCACATGTATACATATCTAGCTGTACCACATGTATACATATCTAGCTAGCTGTGTACCACATGTATACATATCTAGCTGTACCACATGTATACATATCTAGCTGTGTACCACATGTACCACATGTATACATATCTAGCTGTGTGTACCACATGTATACATATCTAGCTGTACCACATGTATACATATCTAGCTGTGTACCACATGTATACATATCTAGCTGTGTACCACATGTATACATATCTAGCTGTGTACCACATGTATACATATCTAGCTGTGTACCACATGTATACATATCTAGCTGTACCACATGTATACATATCTAGCTGTGTACCACATGTATACATATCTAGCTGTGTACCACATGTATACATATCTAGCTGTACCACATGTATACATATCTAGCTGTGTACCACATGTATACATATCTAGCTGTGTACACATGTATACATATCTAGCTGTGTACCACATGTATACATATCTAGCTGTGTACCACATGTATACATATCTAGCTGTACCACATGTACCACATGTATACATATCTAGCTGTGTACCACATGTATACATATCTAGCTGTGTACCACATGTATACATATCTAGCTGTGTACCACATGTATACATATCTAGCTGTGTACCACATGTATACATATCTAGCTGTGTACCACATGTATACATATCTAGCTGTGTACCACATGTATACATATCTAGCTGTGTACCACATGTATACATATCTAGCTGTGTACCACATGTATACATATCTAGTGTACCACATGTATACATATCTAGCTGTGTACCACATATATACATATCTAGCTGTGTACCACATGTATACATATCTAGCTGTGTACCACATGTATACATATCTAGCTGTGTACCACATATATACATATCTAGCTGTGTACCACATGTATACATATCTAGCTGTGTACCACATGTATACATATCTAGCTGTGTACCACATATATACATATCTAGCTGTGTACCACATGTATACATATCTAGCTGTGTACCACATATATACATATCTAGCTGTGTACCACATGTATACATATCTAGCTGTGTACCACATGTATACATATCTAGCTGTGTACCACATGTATACATATCTAGCTGTGTACCACATGTATACATATCTAGCTGTGTACCACATGTATACATATCTAGCTGTGTACCACATGTATACATATCTAACTGTACCACATGTATACATATCTAACTGTACCACATATATACATATCTAACTGTACCACATGTATACATATCTAGCTGTGTACCACATATATACATATCTAGCTGTGTACCACATGTATACATATCTAGCTGTGTACCACATGTATACATATCTAGCTGTACCACATGTATACATATCTAGCTGTGTATATTAACTATCTAGCTTGTCCTCGTTGGCCATAGTCATCCTCCCTGTTGTATTTACATTAGAAACAATTAGAATTGAAGTTATATTTCATTTTGAAACTACGAATTATGTATGAGCTGGTGGATGTTCATTCCCTTTACGTGTTAGCGAGTGTTACCTTAAGGCAAGTGTCTGACGAGTGAAGTGTTGTCAAGGTCTCTTAGTCTCCGTGGTGT